GCACCGAAATAAAGCACCGAAATGTGCGCTGCTTTTCGGTCTGGTTACTACCGTTTATGACAGAACCGGTGCCATCATGGCACTGGATACCGGTACCCATCCCTAGTAACTAGACTTTCTGCTGTGTTGGCAGGGTCTTTCTTTACAGGGCAGAGCTCCAAGAACAATGAGGAGGTTTCACTCATCCGCAAGGCTGACCTGGAGAATCACAACAAAGATGGCGGCTTTTGGACTGTAATAGATGGAAAAGTGTATGACATCAAAGACTTTCAGGCCCAGTCCCAGTCACTAACAGGAAACAGTATCCTGGGTAAGACTAAACAGTAGTTTTGGAATGTAATGTGACATCCAGGATTAATTAAAATAGCACAGGGACACCCTAAGTGCTCAGTGTTGTAAACATGGTACACACACACACACACACATACGCACGCCAGTTACTGATGGTGCAACAACATACCCTTACATCTACACTAATCGCTGTACACTTGGGTTACTTAAAGGTTTCTTTTGTACCTTGAAGGAGAGGCTAAAAATAACCCCAAAGTGAAGCTCTGAGACTTTGAGTACTTTCTGTATTTCAGACATGCAAAGAGGCTGGACTTTGTCAAAGGGTTATAAGAGAACTGATGTCAGAACTCATGCCATTTGTTCTTTGCGGTTTAACAGCCCAGTTTGCAGGAGAGGACCCTGTGGTTGCTTTGGAAGCTGCTCTGCAGTTTGAAGACACTAGAGAGTCCATGCAGGCCTTCTGCGTTGGCCAATATATGGAGGTACCAGTTGTACTTTTATTTTAAACACAACTTCTTTTCTTCGTTGGTGGCTTTAGCCTTTGATATTGGGACTTTTTATCATTTTCAGCCTAACCAGGAGACGGTCACTACTCCAGACCTCAGCAGCCTTTCTTCTCCACTTATTGACACTGAGAGGAACATGGGGCTGCTCCTGGGTCTGCACGCCTCCTACTTGGCCAAGAGCACCGCCCTGTCCCCCATGGAGATTGAATGTGCCAGTAGGTTTAATGGTTTTACATCAGCCTGGTTTAAAAATTCACACTTCGGGTTGGAATTAATTTAACACAAGTGTTTGCTCTCTGCACAGAATGGCTCCAGTCCTCCATATTTTCAGGGGGTCTGCAGACCAGTCAGATCCACTACAACTACAATGAGGAGAAGGACGAAGACCACTGCAGCTCCCTGGGCACAACCACTCCTGATAAGGCCAAACTTTATTCCCGCAGAATAACTCTCAGCGATCACGCACAGCCTTTCTTGCAGGCCATTGCTGACAACAACACTCAGGACCATACTGTGAAGGTACAAGCAAGGCAGAAATGCCTGAAGAGCTTGTTTCACAGTGAGAAGGAGGCTGATGGGTAATAATGTCATGTTTTGCTTTTTGTTTGGAATATTTTAGGACTTCCTATGCCAAATAGAGCGCTGCTGTAAGCAGTACCATCTTATTGCGCCCATCACCTTCCTCCCAGAGCACCCTGTGGAAGAAGTTGGTCGCCTGCTGCTCTGCTGCCTCCTCAAGCATCAAGACCTCGGTAACTTAGCAACTGAACCCAGAGTGGTCACCTGAGGAGAAATTAGAGGCTAATTATGGCTCACTAAAATGTGTTTTTTCTTCTTGTATTTAATTATACTGAGATTCACATGAGTTTCCTTCATGTAACACTGCTAATACCACACAAAGATATTTCCTAATGAAACTCATCGATGCTGAGTTGCATGTGAAGTTTTAAATAAAAATCTTTCCTGTCACAGGTCACGTTGCGCTCTCACTTGTCAGTCAATGTGCCTTGGGTGTGGACCAAGGAAAGCAGAGATCCCTCCCTAAATCTGTGATTGACGTATGCCGCATGGTCTACCAGGCAAAGTGTTCTCTAATTAAGGTATGCTTTCTGCTTGTGAAATATTTCCACGTTATGCGCAGTTAACCTGTGATGCAAAAGGAAGCAGGAAGATGAACGGAAATGCTAATGCAATGATTGCTTTGTCTTATCATAGACCCATCAGGACCAAGGCCGCTCTTATAAGGAGGTGTGCGCCCCTGTTATTGAGCGTCTGCGCTTTTTATTTAATGAGCTGCGTCCAGCTGTAAGCAACGACCTGTCTATAGTGTCCAAACTGAAGCTGCTGAGCTCCCAGCCACGCTGGAGGAGCATCACCCAGAAGCTCATCAGGGATCGTAGGAAAAAAAGAGGTGGGGCCTCAAGAATCTACTGCAGGGTAACAGTTTTTTTTATTTATCCATCTACTCCTTTTGAATGTGAATGTCATCTTTTTTTTGTAGTGCCTAAGAAATCAGAGTCTGCTGATATTGAAGAGCCAAAGCTGGAGAATGAAGGGACCAATGAAGAGGAACTTAATGTTCACATCAGCCCCGCTCCTGCTGACAGGAAATCACCCACTGACAAAACAGCCAAGGTAGTTTAACAGGATTAGTTCATGAGATAAAAAAAAAAAATGGCCAAAAAACATAAAGAAGATGGCTTCAGTTTAAAATCTATTCACCTTCATACACAACGAAAGTTTGTCTCAGTCTGAATTTGTAGATTTATTTATGTACATTTATGTTGCACTTTCATCCCTTGCAGTTGTAGCTAAAATATCAGAGCAGGACAGTGGAGTGCGTGTGTCTACAGAGTTTGTTGTCAACCTATTATTGCATGTCTTGGCAGCAAGACAAGTGGCAGCCGCTTCTTAACACTGTGGCCAGCGTCCAGAAGTATCGCTGGCTGAAGCACAGCGTTCAAGGTGCTTTCTCTCAGTCCAGCCTCATGGCCACCATTGTGGACTTTGCACTGAAAGAGGAGCCACTGGATGTGGAGAAAATGAGGAAGTGTCTTCTCAAGCAGGTGGGAGTCGGTGTGTGTGTGTGTGTGACAATGTTTTAAAGCAGGGTGTATAAAACAGGTGGAAATTTGATTAATTCTGTTTCCTTATAGCTGGAGAGGGCTGAAGTGAGACTGGAAGGCATTGACACCATGCTGAAGCTGGCCTCTAAAAGCTTCTTGCTGCCGTCTGTGCAGTATGCAATGCTCTGCGGCTGGCAAAGAATCATACCAGAAGGGACCAACATTGGGTAGATCACCTGGTTTAAATCCATGTTAAAATTACACTTCTTGTTTGTTTGTTTTGAAGTTATTTGTAATAATCACATGACAGTTATTCTAATAATGTAATCCTGGTGCACTTTTTGTGTTTGTGTTTTCTTCTCAGAGAGCCCTTGTCTGATTGCCTGAAGGATGTAGATCTGATCCCTCCCTTCAACCGCATGCTTTTGGAGGTGACGTTTGGAAAGTTGTATTCCTGGGCCATCCAGAACGTTCGTAACATCTTGCTTGAAGCAAGTGCTCGCTTCAAAGAGCTAGGTGAGTGCTGAAAAATAAGTGGTTAATTCATTTCACACTATTCTTGACCTGTTGTAGACAAACCAGCTGAATGACCACCTGTTCTTGTGACCAGGTGTGCAGCCAGTTCCTTTACAAACCATCACAAACGAGAACCCGGCGGGACCAAGCCTTGGAACCATTCCGCAGGCCCGCTTCCTTCTGGCCATGATACACATGCTGTCCCTGAAACACGGCTCTAACAGTCTCAGTCTGTTGCTGAATTCAGGGATATTGGCCCTCACTCAGAGTATTCTCAGACTGATAGGTGAGTAGTGTCCAGTCAAAGGCAACCCAGAATGAAACGAAGTGTGTACATATTGTTTGTTCGGTGTTTGATGCCTCTTTTCTGACGCTTCAGGACCGAGTACAGACAGCAGTGATGAGGACCTGAGTTTATGTGCACATGGAGGCTCAGCGACAGTCCTGGAGGAGTCCAGAAAAGAGGCAGCTCCCGCCCCTCTACCTGCCTCTGGCCCAGAGCTGGCTGCCATGATGAAGATAGGTACCAGAGTCATGAGGGGAGTCGACTGGAAATGGGGCGATCAGGTACCTAAATCAGTTTTTACTCTAGCTGCTTATTTTATGGACATATTTAACATTATGTGCGTGGTCTGTCCAGGACGGCCCAGCACCAGGTCTTGGCAGGGTCATTGGGGAGCTGGGTGAGGACGGTTGGATCAGGGTTCAGTGGGATACAGGCAGCACCAACTCCTACAGGATGGGCAAAGAGGGAAAGTATGACCTTAAACTTGCAGAGCCACCACCAGCAGCCCAGCCCCCTGTTGAGGACTCGGACACAGAGGACGACACAGGTCAGTTTAAAGGACAGGCTCAGTAGAGATCCTCACAGCTACAGGTAAAGTGCGATGTTCCAGTAATCACCTGTTATATCATTTATACAGAGGGAGAGCTGATTGAGAAGAGCAGCCATCCTACGGCAATGATGCTAACCAGCACAGTCAACCTGCTGAAGACACTGTCACTCTCAGCTGGGATCCATGCTGAGGTGCTCCAGTCAGATGCTACACGGACCCTGTGTGGCCTTCTCAGGATGCTTGTGGAAAGTGGCGCTAATGACAAGTCTGGTAATTGGATTGCCGTTTTCTTTTTCCTAAGGTCTTATATTGAGCAGCATGTTATTCTAACCTGACCTCCTCTGTGCTGTCAGGCTGTCACGCGCACAGATTGGTGTCTCGGGAGCAGCACAGGAGCTGGTGTACCCTCGGCTTCATACGCAGCATTGCTCTCATGCCGCAGATGTGCAGCACCCTCAGTACCTCCGCGTGGATCGGACTGCTCATCCGAATTGTTGAGGGACACCAATCTTTCAATGCTATTACCTTGCAGAGACAGGTTGAGTACCATGATTGTGTGCAGGATTTGCTTCCTCTGCTATTAATGATGCCATTCTTTAGTACTAGAAAACTCTATCCTGTTACGTAGAGAAATGTGTTGTTCATTGTTAAATATAGTTATAGGAAGCATATTAATAAATTATTTTGGGTTCTAAACAGATTTGTTAACTGCAGTTTGTCAAACTCTGAGAATAAGAGAAAAATCACGAAGAATTAGATTCTCAACATTTACAGTTAATCTTTCCATTAACTGTAGTTTAGATGAAAGGTTTTGCTTCTTTTCACTCCTACAGTCCAAAAACAAGTTAAAGAAACAGCTTTTGTAGTTTCTACAGAAGCACATGATTTATTTTTGTTGATCAACCAGTAAATTAGCCACACAATCTCAGTGGAGATTTCATCTTTTCTCCCATTCACCCTGTGTTTCCAGATCTTGGCTCTACGTCTCCTTCAGGCGGTCCTGCCTTCATGGGACAAAACGGAGCGCTCTCAGGACATGAAGTTCCTGGTGGAGAAGTTGTTTGGCTTTTTGGGAAGCTTGCTGAGCACCTGCTCATCAGACCTGCCACTCCTCCGAGGTGCTGCAATGGTTCAGGCTTAAAGTAACAAATGCAATGCTGTTATTGTCATTGTATTTTTAATTGGTTGTTCCTTCTCAGAAGGTTCCCTGAGAAGGAGGAAGTCCCGCCCACAGGCGTCTCTAACAGCCACTCACAGCAGCACGCTGGCAGAGGAGATTGTGGCTGTCCTGCGTACTCTGCACTCTCTCAGTCAGTGGAACAGCCTGATAAATGATTACATCAACAACCAGCTGAGCTCCATCGCAGATGTTATGGCAAGCTGCCAATCTGAAGCGGTAAGATTTATTGTGGCATTATGAGTCCAATTACCGTGTTGGTTAAATGTTAACTTACAACAGTGCTTTTATTCTGCCAGTCAGCTCTAACAAAGCGATAATTATAAATGTCCAGAACTGTCAGTGTTTCCTGGAGGAGTGTTTCCCTGATTTGGAGGGTCCCAGAGTGGGCAGTCTGATGGCAGTGCTGGCGGTGATTGGTGGGATCGACGGGCGCCTCAGGCTTGGTGGCCAAGTCGTTCACGAGGAGTATGGAGAGGGAACGGTCACACGCATCACCCCAAAAGGGCGCATCACTGTCCAGTTCCATGAGATGAGAACCTGCAGAGTTTGCTTGCTCAGCCATCTTAAAACGGTGCGGGAATGCTGAGATACTCACAGATGCATTGAAGCTGGCTCCACTTAGCAGTCTGACTTTATTTAATATTTCTACTCTTTAGCTTCCTGCCATATCCTTCAGTGTGCAGAACCTGCCATTCACTGAACCCATGTTGGCTGTTTGGGCCCAGCTGGTCAGCCTGGCTGGAAGCAAACTGGAAAAACAACGCATGAAAAAGTCACTTAGCCGAGGGCTTACAGGTGCAGACTTGATTGCCTTGCATGTAACTGAAATAAACAAACAAACAATTTGTTAAGAAAAATCCACGACTCTGTTTACAGCAGTATGTTTTATAGTATTCTGGCAATATGTGAGACACTGAAAGCGTTTGTTTGGTCAGAGACTGAAAGTTTAGTGGGTGTAATCAATGCTGTTGTTTCCAGCCGACCAGGTGGACCTCTCTTTGCTGCGGTGCCAGCAGCTGAGGCTTTATGTTTTAAAGGCAGCTCGGGCCCTGCTGTCTCATCAGGACAAACTCAGGCAGATCCTCTCCCAACCTGCAGTGGTGGACATAGGACCCAATCCCAGTGGTAAGACCTCACCCAGTGAAAGGCTAGGTTAGTACATCTTAAAAATGGACTGAGGAAGTTTGATCATTAGGGACTATTACTGCTGTTTGATGCAGTTTAGTGATTTCAAGGTTCAGTTCACAGGACATTACTGAGATATCAGATGTGTTTCCATACTTGGAGCAAATTCTAGCCATTTAAGGTTTGAAGGCCTTGCACACTGTGTGTGTTTTCTTAAAATGTACAGCAAGTTGCTGATCAGAGTTTAAATCTTTATTTGTTTACCTTTGAAGTGAAAATGTAGAGTTCAATTTAACCTTAAGGTCGAGGGCACGGATCAAGTTTAGGAAAATCTTGTGAATGCAATAACTTGAGAAATAGGCAACATAGGATTTTAAAATTTCTACCATAGGTGCATCTACTATGAGGCTGAGGGGTACCACTGGTAGCCACCAGAATTTATTATTTTTTTCAATCTAGATCTTGTCCAGAACTTGTCTGTCTCTCTATGTGCAGAGGATCCAGTGGCTTCATCTCCTGATGTGGGCGACTTGTCTCCTGAGGGACCTCTGCCTCCACTGATTCTCCTGCAGCAGCTGCTTTCTGCCGCCACACAGCCTTCTCCCATCAAAGCCATTTTTGACAGGCAAGAGATGGAGGTATGTCAGTCGAGCTGATTGCAGACAGCTGGTGTCAGCGGTAATGTTGCTGATGTATTCGGTGTGACTTTGACGCTATATGTATGTGCAGGCGGCAGCTCTGGCAGTGTGTCAGTACCTGGCTGTGGAATCTGCCCACCCATCCTCGCCGCTGTTTGAGGAAAGCAGCTCTAGTGAAGCCACCACACCCATCACCACGCAGCACATCAGACCACCCAAACAGAAGAAACAGAAGTCCTCCACTATCCCGCCCTTACCGATAGTTGGCCAGCTCATGGAGATGGGATTCCCTCGGAAAAACATCGAGTTTGCCTTGAAATCTCTGTCTGGGACTACAGGCAATGCCTCCGGTATCCCAGGTATCTTATCACATGAGTGCTTGGTAGCGCTGTAGGTAATTTAATGTGAAATGAAACATCTGGAAAAGGTACCCACGTACATTAAAGGCCTGTAGGTCAGGGAATGTTAATAATATGAAGGTAACATTTTTCAGTGGATCCATTAAATATACATTAAAGTTCTTGAGCATTTAAAAAAACAGCTAATTTTGAAAAGATACAATATGAGATACCGATTTGTTTTTCATAAAACGAGCCCTGCTTGCCTCATGATGTTTAGACATTTACCTCAGGAGAGTAACTGAGCATATCCATCAGGTGTTGAGACTCTGGTGAGCTGGCTGCTCGACCATCCAGACGTTCATGTCACTGAGCTGTCAGATGCCGACACTGTGTCTGATGAATACTCAGATGAGGAGGTGCTGGAGGAGCTGGAGGAGGCAGAGCCGGCATTCTCTGTGGTGTGTTCCTTACTCTTTTATTTCTGGTGTGACCCTCACAATTACCTGTCCCTCAACTTGTCAGATTCAATTATTAATACCTTCATATATGATTAAAATACGTGTCTGTCACATTAGCCTTCAGGTGCAGTTGTGACTGAAAGCCAGATATTTAAGAAGAGATCTGATTTCCAAAGCAACGATGATTACGCTGTTTATGTGAGAGAGAACATTCAGGTGAGTGTTTGCTTTTGTATGTTTTCTGAATCTGCCTTAAAGACATGATGAATTGGTGTTACGACTCAGCGGCTTCCCTACAGGTGGGGATGATGGTGAAGTGCTGCAGAACGTACGAGGAAGTGTATGATGGCGATGTGGGCAAAGTGATTAAGCTGGACAGAGATGGGCTTCATGACTTGAACGTGCAGTGTGACTGGCAAAATAAAGGAGGAACATACTGGGTTCGCTACATCCACATCGAGCTGCTTGGTAAGATAACAGTTAATGTGATGCTTTGCAGGCATGCTAATAACAGGAAGTAAATAGACATAAGAAACCTGTGTCTCTGATTTTGCCGTTTCAGGATTCCCACCACAGAGTTCTCCTTCTCACATAAAGATTGGTGACAAAGTGAGGGTAAAGCCCACAGTCACAACACCAAAGTACAAGTGGGGCTCTGTCACACACAGGAGTGTGGGGGTGGTTAAAGGTAAGCAGAGTCACTCTAGTCTTAAGACAGAGTGTCATCTGTTTTTCTTCTGTTATTGTAACTTGAATCCACCGTTTATTGTGCTAATAGAGCCTCGTTGTTTGTTTTTAGCTTTCAGTGCCAATGGAAAAGACGTGATTGTCGACTTTCCACAGCAGTCCCACTGGACTGGTTTGTTGTCTGAGATGGAACTGGTCCCCAGTGTTCATCCTGGAGTGAGGTAAAGATGTACTAAATTGGTATCTTAGTATGTTGTGAGTAGCAATGTGAGGGATTAGTTGTCCAGACTTTTTATATATTGCTTAGTAGCAGAAATACTTATTGGTTAAACTAATTGTTCATATTTTAACAGTTGCTAAGACATCATCCACCACTAGCTTGGTGTCAATTTGTTAACAAGCTTTAGACAAAGGGGTCAGTCAAACAGATCACAGCTACATGAAGTTCCTGCAGGGGTCTGATGTTGAAAATCAACATCATCAGAATAAAATGACCACTGTACGTGAGCAGTAACCACATCCCACACAGGTGTTTCAGCATTAACCTGCGAGGAAAGTCTCCTTCTGAGCAACGAGGCCAATATTGCTAGAAGATTCACTTACCTTGTTCTGAGCAGTTTCACGTGGGAATTTATTTTTATTTTAAATATATCTGTAGTCTTTGCACATGGTTTTTAGTAACTGAGTCATTATTTCTGGAAAGGTACATTTGAAGCTTAGGTATTCAGATGTACTTTTGTGATGCTTTGAGAAGCACAGAGTGTGCATATTCAAGTATATTCAAGAAGAGGGAGGTCTATAGTTTGTTTTCAAAGCTAAGAAACTTGCAGTGAAATAAATGGACCAGGACCCATAAGGAAAAGAGGTGAATTAGATTTTGCTTGAACTGAACATTTTACATGAAACCCCTATTGCTTTCTCCAGATGTGACGGCTGCCAGATGTTTCCTATTAATGGCCCCAGATTTAAATGTAAAAATTGCGACGACTTTGACTTCTGTGAAAACTGCTTCAAGACACGCAAACACAACACCAGACATTCCTTTGGCAGGATCAATGAGCCTGGTTAGTCCTACATTCACCAACATAAAATTCTGTGGTGGTTCTACGTGCGTGTGCATAAACCTGTCCTCCACCTTCTCCACAAACAGGCCAGTCTCCGGCTTTCTGTGGCCGTTCAGGAAAACAGCTAAAGAAGCACCACAGCAGCCAGCGTGGGATGCTGATTGACGATTGGTCTCGAGCCGTCAAGAGCCTCAACGTGTCGTCATCGGTTAACCAGGCTTCGCGCCTCATCGACTGCAGTGATCAGTGTTGGCAGTCCTCTGGCTCACAGGGGAAGGTAAGAGTGAATTGCATAGTCTAATAGGCCAGATGACAGCCTGATTAGTTTGCTTTATTAACGTTTAATACTTTCTTTTTCTTTGCAGCACTGGATTCGTCTTGAGCTTTTCCCAGACGTTCTTGTTCACAGGCTGAAGATGATCGTAGACCCGGCGGACAGCAGCTACATGCCCTCGTTAGTGGTGGTGTCAGGTGAGTTCAGATGTTTTTTGTTTTATGTAAAATTGTACTGATATTAGTATTTTTCCCTTTTGTTTGAGCAGATGGCAGTTTAATTTTAAACTTTCAGACCAATTCTTTGTTTTTTAGCATTTTGATCATTCTGACATTTTGTTAACACAGGTGGAAACTCTTTGAACAACTTAATTGAACTCAAGACAATTAACATCAATCCCACTGACACCACTGTCCTTCTCCTTTGTGACTGCACTGAGGTTTGTCTGCTTCAATAACTGACAGCTTCTAATTGTTTTTGTTTTCCCCCTAAGCTTAAGTGTTGTAATAACTTTATATAAACACCCCCAACAGTATCACAGGTACATTGAGATTGCAATCAAGCAATGCCGCAGCTCTGGTATCGACTGCAAGATTCACGGACTCGGCATTGTGGGACGCATTAGAGCTGAGGATGAAGACCTGGCTACAGTCCCTTTCCTGGCCTCTGACAATGAAGAAGAGGATGATGAAAAAACAGCAGCTGGGAGGTGAGATGAGGAAGATTTATTTCCAGGTTCCAATCATACATATGTGCGATTCGCTTTCCAGGGGATAGCCTGTGAGTTTGTGGTTCTACCATGTGGCCTGTCACCGAGCCCAATGATGTTTGTGAGATGCACTGAGGCAGCAGGTACTACTCAGCAAAAGGGCATTTGAGTAGCAGCACACATCAAAAACTGGCTGCTGCCAGCTCCTACCTGTTAACAGGAAGAGAATTTAGACTTCCAGATAAATGTGGAACAGAGCGTATTGAGACCCACTGAACATATTAACTTCACAGCATTCAGACTTGATGCCCTCCAGTGAAGACTTTCTCTCCAGACAGACTGGTGACGATGCAGTCAACCATAGCTCTTTGTTGCAGGGGCAGCTCTGTTACCCTCAGACAGTGCCAGAGGCTGCTGAGCCTGATGGATTCCTCTTTAGCAGAGATACCACTGGGTACATGAAAGGTTTTCAGCTCTGAGTGGCCTCACTGGGATTAGACCGTCATCGTGACTCCCTCCGTGGACTGCTCACTTGCTCTTTGCCAGTGGAAGAAACCCAGGTTTTGTGGCTCAGGTCAGACTCTGGGCATGGTTTTAGCCAGGAAGGTGGTCTCCATAGATGCCTCCCTTGTGGACCAGGGTGAACTTAAGAGGGGAGAACAGTGAATGATAGTTATGCCCCCCACAGACAGTTCATGCACATAAACTGTCTGGAACTGCTGGCAGTTTATCAGTCGCTAAAACATTTGCTCTCTTGGCTGAAAGGGCATCATGTTTTAGTGAGGTCAGATGCTTCCACTGTTATGGTTTATATCAATAGAAATGGGGATCTGAGGTCATGTAGATTACACACACTGGCCCCACTGACTGTTAGTCAGCAGTCATCTATGGTGTTGTTTGTTTGGTGTTTGTTTTTATACTTTATTTCCAACTTCTTTATAAAAAAAATGTCATAAATATATGTTGTCTATCAGTATTTAAAAAAAAAAAAAAAAAAAAAAAGAGGTGGAAGACTAGGGAATACTTATGTTGCTTTAGGTTTTTGCTACATTTGCAAAACCGTCTTTCAGGAGCCTTGGTGTTAGTATTGACTCAGCTCTGACTTTGGATGCCCATGTAAAATCTTTGGTTCGCTCCTGTTTTTATCACTTGAGAAACATTGCTAAGCTGAGTCCCATTGTATCGCGCTCC